GTGAGTCTTGGACGAACTGAAATTATGAACCATACGCTTATTCATTGAAGCATGATCAATTTTATTAAATAATTATAATAAATTATAAAAAATTTAAAAAAAATATAAAAAAAATTTAAAAAAACCACACATCATTGTAAAATCAATACATTCATCGTTTCACTCAGAATCTAAAAACATCAATAAAAGTCTAAAATTGAAGTAGTGTTGTTTGGACACTCCCTTCCATCAAGCCGTCCAGTTTTGTATATATTTTCTTAAATAAAATAAAAAATGAAAAAAAAGTAATCCAGTAAATTTTTGTTGAAAGACTTACATAAAATATTTATGTATAATGTATAATTAACATTTAATGTGGCAAGTATTAAATTTTAAAAAAATGTATTAAAATAAACGATAAAAACATTCCTAATAATCGATTTGTGTCGGTACAATACTTAAGATATTTTAATTAATTAAACTTCAATTTTCTGGGGCTCCGGTTTGATTACAAATTGTTACATGATACCAAACAGTTTTCGAGTCAAAATTTTAACCTTGGGGTGCCAGGGTAGCACACTAGCACACCTGTCTAAGTTTATGTTTAAGAGTAAATGATGTATAAAATATTTATTGAATAATTAATTGGAAAAGCTCTAGCCGTATAATAATAAATTGTCATGTTGTACCTCACGAGTTGTTAATATTTTATGAACCTTTTGGCTTTTATTTCCATGGTGGTGGACAGAGGGGGGTACTCAAAGGCCAAAGTTTCAAATGCTTAGGTTGAAATTTCAAAAGTACGAACCTAAATTTTTTTTCTATGAATGTCAATAAAATGTTATTGGTTGGGTCAAAAAGCATGAAAATTTAATACACGACTTTTGATATATTATAACAATAGAGGTTGAAAAATGTTAAAAAATACATAAGCATGATCTTTTTTGATAAGCATTTAAAGTTCAAATTTTGACAGTATTAATTATCAAATTGGAAATTGAAAATGATTTTTTTGCTAAAAAATCGTAAAATTTTCAATTTTTATATCTTAGGATTGAAATTTTAAAACAAGATTACGCTTTAGGTTTTCTTTCTGTAACTAAAAAATCTAAAAAAAATATGAATATAATTATTTTTTACAGACATTTTAAGTTGAAATTTGGACAAAATTCCATATTAACACAAAGAATAACGATTTATCATTTTGTTGTAATTCGGTTCCAAAACAGCCCCATTTTACATAGGTATATTTAATACTTTTCCAGCATCACTGATAATTTAAGAATAATATTAATTCAATTTACCGGCTACCATATTAATAATAACTAATAACAATAAGCTTTCATGTAATGTCATATTTTGATTTTCCAGTTTTTTTTTATTACCATCACTAAAAGTGCCAAATGAGTGGATATAAATGTTAAATCATCGACAACAGTACCATCTTCAATTATATCCAGACCTTTTCTAATACTCTGTGAATCATCCATTGCCAGTCGCTCGACAACTTTTTTATATTTTGGTAAAATAATCTACATAATGTAACGCAGCTTGTACCCATGTTCCCTCACCTTGTATGAAATCGTCCCTCAAGGGTTGCAAAATACTATTTTTCGGTCAGTAGTGAAAACCTCGGTGTCTGCTTGCCGAGGAAATCCATTCTCGAATTTTGTTGCAAATCGAACTACTTATTTTCGGCATATTCACGATTTATATACTAAACGACAGATGACATATTCATATTATCTTTATTTCAGTTATTATTTAGTGCTAACAAAATTATTTTTAATAATTCTACTTGACAAAATATTATTTTACACATTTCTTTTTAAATTTCCGGTTTAATATGCAATACATTTCGAATTTAGTAAAAATATGCAAAAAAAATTTTCACCAGTATCTTCATACTAATATGATTCGTGAAAATACCTGACGGAAATCCAAAAATGTGAAAAGGAAAAAAATATTTGCAATTGCATAGAAATCTAACTACAACTTTTTGAAAGGACATTTTTCATGATATATTTTTTTAATTACTCTAAGAATAACTAAAAGAAAGATTGTTGGTAGTGTTGGGGGTAGTAAAGTAACGCAATTTACAAATTACCTTAACGAAATTACTTTTGCAGTACCTAACGCTGTAGAAATGCCATTATATTTTATTTCAATCAACTCAATTGTTAGGAAATTAATTTTTAAAAGTAATTTCTATGATGTCACGTGTTATTTTCCACGTCATTAAAATAATTTTTTTATGTAGAATGTATGACAAAAACTATCGGTAAGGATATCGAGAAAAATTAAAAATCAATAAAATGTATTTTCGAGTCCGAAAGTTTTAGATATTAAATAATAATCATCAATATTATTTAAGATCCTAATAATTAATACTTATACGTTTGGTTCATATATAACATTAAGTCATTACGCATTAGTCATTAACAATGTACATTGTACCTAGTACTTGTTAGTCGTTATGGACTGATTTTGTAACTCATTTTTTAAAAAAGTAACGTTATTTAGACATTTGTAACGCTCAACTTTTTGAATGATAAACTAAAGTAATGTGATAAAAATGATGTAGGATAAGTGGTAACGCTAATGTAATATAAATTAAAATATTTAATGTACCTAACGAGTAACGTTTCTTACTTTTCAAAAATAATTGTACAAACAAACTAACAAACACTGTTATAATTTGACTTTACTTTTTTTTTGTATATTAATCTCAAACCAGTTGACTATAGTCAGAGGATTGGCTAAACATTTTCTTCTAGAGAAATTACTGAATGACAGGCCCGCTCAATATAGGTATTATAATTTATATTAATTAATAATAATTTTCCATAAAAAACATTTTTTTTTTTTAAGAATTGCCTTATTTATAATTTAACATAACAACCTTTAATATCATGTGAGTATGTAACATTCTTTTATAACCACCCTTATTACCAACTAGTTTTACTTTCCTACCAGAAATATGCTGAAATAAGAAATCGAAGCATTTTGACTGCAAGTAATGGCAGTCACAAAATAATTGTTTAAAAAAATAACAAGCATCATTACAAAATCAATACATTCATTGCTCCATCCACACCCGCTCTTTTTGCTTCACTCAGTATCTAAAGTATTGGTATTATGTATATTCACTATTCATAATTCATACCAACTATAAAGATTATCTTAAACATATAGGTACATCTATGATCATAGTCTAAACCAGCCGTCGCCAACCTTTTGGACCTCACGGACTACTAAATACATATTTTTAATTTTACAGACCTTAAAATTTATAATAGTTTTTTACATAAAAACCGTTCCACTGATACGTCAGACGTCTTGTACCAAATGTCTGTAGAAAAGCACATTTATAAAATGATAATAATAATTTTTTTTATTTTTAACGGAAGTACCTATTAGGTTACTGTAATTATTACAAATTTACTTAAGCTTAGTATATAAACGATTAAGTACTTATTATACATATCAATCTTAATGTGACATTTGTTCCTGCTTGTTTTGAAGAATTTCATGACATTTTATACTTTAAGCCATAAGACGTGCCTATTGCCTAAAGTTAATGAATCAGATGTACTAGTCACACTGTTTGATTTAAACGTACCTTCTAAAAAAATCTTTTTTTATCTAGGTAAATGTGTTAATTAGTATACATGTCCAGGGCTGGATTGGTATGTATTGGCCCATCGAGATTTTCACTTGTAAGTGGCCCATTTAAATATTCAAAGGGCCAAACTTACGTCTAAAATTGTTACGGCCTTATAATATAAATTATAGGTGGCTAATCATATTTTAAACATGAATTTATTTTCACCCACACATTCACATGACCGGTTTTTCTTAGACTATTAAAAATAAAAATCATGGAATAATATAATCATATAGAAATAAATTAACAAAGAAGGAATTTTATATTTCATTACTCATTTAAAAAGTCTAAATTATTAAAAAATATTTTTTCAGGTGATGGATTTAAATCATCTGAGTCTGAGCGTCACTGATACAATGTGGAAATAAAATAACTATTTACTATGGTAGAGCGACCACTGAGGTGAAACCTCTTATCCATAGATTGGACAACTAATTCAAATAAAACTTAAATATAAATCTTCGTGCTAAAGACTTACTAACTATTAAAACATTACTATAGATTTAAAATTCATATCTATTGAATATTACCAGATATCGTCTAGCAATGAACTAATTACAAAAATGTATTATGATTATTGATTATCTCTGTAGGTAGTAGGTACATGGTACAATAGTGCGATACTGTCCCATATTCTCGTATTCCTACATAAAATATATCTTATCTTTTTTAAATACCTAGTATTAAATATTTTTCACTATACAACATACATAAATATAAAATATTTCAAAACTTAATATGGCCCACAGTTTGGGCACCTGTGCAACTCTAATTAAAGAAGTAACTATATAGATTAACTAAATTAATTATTCATTATAACTTTGGTTTTTTAATTTAATTTATGAAATAATAAATAGGTACCAACGCGTTTAATTCAAATTATGTATAGACAAATCTATAGCTAAACAGTAAATTAAAAGTTAATCAAATATTTGTTTGTGTAATTACGCTGTAAACAACAATTTTTAAAATAAAAGTACAGAAATAAATATTTATTAAATTAATAATTTAGTAGATACACACTTTTAATCACCTAAGAAACTACACATTATATGATACCTAGTATATAGTGTACAATCAGAATGAACAGTAGGATTAATTTTTAATAGATTCGTTATAGTTATATAAACAATTTTAAAGTTACATAAACTTTAATGTGGTGGCCCAAGTAATATATTTTTTAAAAATCATAATAAATATGTTAATATTTTACTCCATATTAATTTTATATCTTATAGAGCAAAATATATATGGTTAATTTAAATTAAAACATTATACACGTTGACTCAACTTACTTAACTAACTCATGTTCATTTTTATATAATTTTCCCATGTTTGAAGAATTGTTCAACAATTCCTATTTATTACACGCATTTGATATTATTTATGTCTGAAAATCTGAGTGTCTGAGACCTGAATGAGTAGTCTGACACACTAACGACAAGTTAGATCGATATACCGACGCTCGTAGACCCGACGGAGCATTCCATCGCACAGCTTAGCAAGGGGCTTTTAACAAACAATATATATTATTATACTTACCTATTATAGTATTATATTAGTCGGTCGCTCGTAGGGGTGTCTGTAGATCCACAGTCGAAAACTAACCATGCAAAATTCACCAGCAAAGAAGAAAAAAAACAAAAAAGGTCACAAGAAGAAAAACGTCAAAGAAGAAAAAGATGCATTGCAGGAAGTGGATCGGACCATGTACAATATACAAATAGCTGATCTCACTGAAAAGCTCGCCAGGTATTATCTGAAATTCTATGTGATGAACCATATTAGGATAATTAATAATAGGCAGCAAATAACAATAGTTCGACTACAGACTACAGTGTGTATATTGTATTACTGCATGTCCATTGTACATCACGTTGCGGTCGTATATGCTATATACTATAACCATAGGTTAAAATATCGTTTGAGATTTGGGGGAGGAGCTGAAGCCCCACTATAATAATATTAAATAAGCTTAAAAAAACAGAAATGTTTGTGGGGCTAACTCCTAAAGTCCCCCCTCCTATTTGAGCCTATGATTATAATTTAAAAGTAAGAAGTTGTGCGTATGTGTTAGAAATAGTATATTTTATAGAGACAGAGTGTATCAAGAAGATCTGTTAATTGCAGTACTTTGAAATACAGACATTTTCTGACGACCTTTGTGATACACCTCCTGTATATTATAATATATAAATATATATAATGCAAGCAGAGCAGATACTTTAGGGCTCAAGACATGATTGCGTACTTCGACATAGATATTTTTGTTTTTATAGAATCAAAATTCAAAAATAATTTAATGAAAAATACTTAAAAATATATATTTATATTGATTAAGATTTTTTTTACTTTATCCATTAAAATTGTATTAAAAATTAAAATGAATATAGAAATTATTATTACTAATAATTTATAGGTAATAATTATTATTATATACTATACGTAATTAATGTCATACTTTGTTTTATTCTGTATAGTTACATAATTAATACTAATCAATATTTTTGAAAATAGGGATTATTTTAATTCTAGAAGGCGTACTAGATGATATAAGTATTCATTTACCCACTCAATTCGATTGTTGTCAATATTCTCCTCAAAAAAAAAAATTTGAAATTTGTGCCTATGATAATTAATATTTAATTATATGTATACAATGTAAATTGAATTCCTTTCTCCTGCACTACCTCTTACGAATTTTGATGCCAAACTTTGATAATATCTATTATGTACTTTTTTTGTACAATTTTGACAAAAAAAACCATTTGTACACAGTTACAAACACAGGAAAACCCGGTTATTCTTTGCAAGTGCTAAGGAAACGTTTCTCCAAAATGTGCATAGCAAAACCGGATTTTCTAGTGTTTTGAAAAGTGTTCAAATTTATACAAAAAACTGTACAACTATACTGTCAAAGTTACTGGTTAGGTACTAAAATTTGAAAGTGACAGTGCGCCAGTGCTGGCAAAGCGGAGCTTGCAAATTGTATTGAGTTATTAAGTAGAAAGAAGGGTGCGAGTGAAACGATCGGTTTATTTATTTCAATTAAATGAGTAGGAAAACTTTTTTCTCCCACTTTCAAAAACTGAATTGATTTATTATGCATATTGCATGCATATATATTAATAGTAATAATATATTATACATTTTTTCTACATACTATGTAAATATTTGTTATTAACAATACATTAATCTTTAATATAAAATTGTTTAAATTATAAGCAAACATTTTTATCATCATCAGCCATCGGCCATATTATTATAGTAGGTGCCTAATGTTTAGTGTTGATAAGTTCCGACCGTTCCGTCGTACCTCGTACATATTCAATTCTGCTGTGGCATAGTAAATTAGGTATTTTAAAAACATATACTAATATACCTGAGTAGGTATACATGTATTAAAAAACTCTGCGATAGTATTTGGGCTATTTTATCATTTTATGAAATATATACAAAATATATATATGTATATATATAATATAGGTACAAACTATAACAAATTATTGGGTATATAAATGTTTGTATTAAGTTTCTAGTCTTAGAAAATTAATTATTTTACATGTAAATAATATTTCTATGAATCTATACAAGATATTAATAATTAATTACAGCAATTATTTATATAGTATACTAATATAATATTGTGTTCTATAGAGTAACCAATAGGTGTGCAGAGTTGGAGAGAAATAACGATTTGGAAAGAGAAAAGGCCAATTCGTTAAAAGAGGGTCAATGTGACATTATTGCATATTTATCGAAACAAGTTGAAATGAAAAACAACGAGATCTTTGATTTGGAAAACACTGTTTCAACATTAAAAACTGTATGTATATTAATTAACTGTACCTATGTACATAGCACACGTCATATTCGCTACTTATAAAGTACCTCTACTAAACTTACCTACTTAGCTGAATACTGAATACTGAATACTGACAAATAATTTTACAACACCCACAGCAAAATAAAATTGTTGACAAAATTGTGTATTTATGAGTATTTTCATCAGAATATTGCAAAAAATTATTATACCGTGTACTCTCAATTATCAGCGAGCGGACCATCCGCTAGATGAAGCCGCTTTAAAATATAAACATGGAATCATTCAATATCTAGAAAAACAAAACGATACAATACAACCCTGTGTGACAAAATGTTGTTCAAAAAACTTTAATCGCAAGTTAAAAAGAAGACTTTACAAACGAAGAAACAACAACTTGTGACTGATTTTTTTGCATATACATAATTTTTAATTTTTAATTACGGAAATAAAAAAATTTCAATTTTCAATTTATTTTTTATTATTTTTTTAATTTCGCAGATTATCCGCGGAATTCGTTTATCCGTGAATGTCCAGCCACCCCATTCCGTAAATAATCGAGGGTAATACTGTAATATAATAATATTTTGAATGAATAAAAAAAAGTAATTTGTTTTCATATATTTGAATGAATAATTTAAATTTCAACTAATTATTTATTTAAATGTAGGTACTTTTTTAGAAAAAAAAGTATTAACTACCTGCAACAATTTGAATTCGAGTTGAATTACTTTTTTGTATCAAATATCAGTATAATAATTAATAATAGCAAGATAGTAGTTTTAACAATATTGTTTTTTATATGAACTTTAACTCAGCTTTTTGTCGATACTCGATCACATTCTGCGTGGAAAATATTAAAATATAAAAATGTCCACAACTCATGTCATAATTAAAACATGGGAAAAACAGCTTAAAAACAGACAAGGTCATGACTTATTAGTTATTATCCTTATTTTCGGTAATAGTCATTATATTCACTTTAATATAAAACTAACCAAGCGAGAACTGCTTAACATAAAAGTGCTACCTATGTTACATTATTAGGTACGACTTGTAAGACGGAGACAATAAATGCGGGTGAGACTTAACAAAAAATTAACTAATAATTGAGACAACTATTGTTTACATTTTTCTTTGAATTTAAAATAATATAGCAATTATTATTATTTTTGTAGACTATTGAACACCAAAAAATAAACTATGAAGATATTATAATGAAGAAGAATGGACAATTTGAAACCGTTTTTGGACAATTGAAAGCAGAAATTGGATTGTTAAGTGTGTACATTTATTTTAATTGGTACCTATACAAATCAAACAAAAATTATAATAATTTATAGCTTAATTGATTGTTAAAGTGATCTGTTTGTAATAGTAACTTCCTCTTTTATCATAAAAGATTAAAAACAGCTAGTGAAATTGATGTACCTTAGAATAATGTCATAATGAGGTTATTATAATATTTTATTGTACACATCTGATTGTAAGAAAAATAATTCGATAGAATAAATCTATATTAGTTTCTTAAAAACCCTCTAAGTTCTTTGCTGTAATTAATAGTCAAACAATAAATTATAAACTTAAGACATACCAAATTTTCGTTCACTAGTTTCAATAACATGCTGTTAGTTTTAATATTAGAGTAAATTTACCTATTATTAAACTTTTAGGTAAGACATTATCTTTGTCCTATCATTGTTTTTTTGAGATATTTTAATTTTTAAGTGAGTTATGACTATGAGTATGTGAAGTATTAATATTTTAAAATTCTCATAATTCACTTAAAAATAAAAATATATTAATAAACCAATCTGTGTTAAAGTGTTTTTATTATTTGGACAACATAAATACAATTAAAGTTATTAGTTTGAGAACATTGGATTTTTTTTTAATTATTTAAATGTATTGGTTATAAAATATTAAAACTACGAAACATGTAGTTTTCTCCTTTTCCGTAGTGGAATTTTGGTATTTCTACTATAAATACAGGGGGAGTATAATTGTAGCGCGCTAAACAGTGGTAGCTATGTTGTACATTTGTAAGACTGGGACAACCCATAGGAGTGTATCGTCCTCTTAATAGTTAAAATATCTCATATAGGTAACTATATTTGTTTATTGTTTACAACATTTGAGGGAAAAATAAATTGCATTAATTTTAGAATGATACCTTTTCATTAATGTGAATACTTTTTTTGACAATATACAGTTTCAATTGTTTCGTAGTCACTATATGGTTCGAAAAACATAATGTTTATGGTAGGCACTTTGAAAAAGTAATTATTTGAATATATCTTATAGATTGCATAGATTGTGTGAAAAAAAACTTAAAAATAATATTACTCTTTAGCTATTTGCGTGAAAAGAGAAACTAACATTTAATTTGATTGAAATACGAATAGGAGCTTGTCTACAAAATCTTAGTCAGAAAATTAAATGTATCAAATAATAATTATTGTTCTACTATTTGCAGACAGCAAAGTAAATTCACTAAATGAGTTTAAAAAACAAAGATCTCAATTAACTGATAAGTTTTTGAAACAAGAGGAAGAATTATCAAAACTGAAGGGAGAAAACGATAATTTACTTTATGAAACTGAAAAAAAACTTATCATAGCCAAAGAACAGTAAGTAAAATATTAATAAATCTTGTTAAAATATCGATGATTATAGTTAAAAACTACACATTTAAATTAACCCAGTACACGCGAACAACAACAATTATTTATTTTACAGTATGAAACGTCAAAATGAAGCTAAGCTTTTGCAACTATCTACAACGATTCAGAATAACCTACATAAGTTAATGTCTTCAACTTTTCAAAGAACTTTACAAGAAAATGTTATTATTAAGACGGAAGTAAGTTTATTTTTATTTTATTACAGGCACGGAAACAGAGAGGTCATAGAGATTAACCCCCCCCCCCGCGCCCCCTCAAATGTTTTCTAAATATATTTTTTTTCAAAGTGGCCATGTAAAACTTTTATTTGTTGATTAATTTGAATTTATTTTATTTTTTAACCCTCTCATCCTTCCATAATTTTTTTAGATAAAATATGTACCTAACGGTTTGGTCAATTGCTAAATGCACATAATATATGATTAATTTGTAATTTATATTGTTTTTATCATTTTAGTTGAATAAATGTTCGGATAGTTGGTTCAAAATGGATAAAAAATATACGTTGCTGAAGTCAGACAATTTAGATTTAAAAATCGAGAACAAAATGTATACGAAAGAAAATAGCCGTCTGAATAAAATAATCATAGCCCAAAAACAGGTAGACATTTTACAATATTAATAGTTGTGTTACTACTTATGTATACCTATCATATAATTCCATATAACTACCCAATGTCTAATATATACTGCGCGCCTGTATTAGTATACTAGTAAGTAGGTAGTAGGTATATACTACCATAAATATATCAGCCCTGCCTTCCAAGGACGTCCGCAGGGGGGGCAAGTAGGGGCAGTTGCACCTCCCTTGGCATTTCTGCGCCAATTATCCTAATCATTATTGATGGTTTAAATGTCCTAAAAAAACTTTAAAAAAGCCTTAATCATTTCAAAATAGTGCACTAACTTATTTTTATTTTTAATATAAACGATTTAATTAATTCTAATATAAATTTGGTATAAATTATAGTAGGTATACATTTTAAACTTTTAAAGGATTGTAAAAAGTTTTACAGACAGAACTGATCGTTTTGGACTTTTTTAATCTGAAAATTAATTATTCTTTTTTATATATAGGTTTAGATCATATATTTATTATAAAAATCATGTAAAAGCATATTGTGCAAATATTAAAACAAAGTGTAAAATTTAAATTAAAAAAAAAAAACTTCAAGATGCTCCAAAAATCCTAAAATTCGAAAAATGACCTTAAAATTTAAAACCGTCAAGAAATGCAAAATAAAAACTTCTTATTCTATTTGTGTATGTTTTAAAACAAGTATCGCGTAGCTATAGATTCGGAAAACAATACAAAGCGCTTCGAAATCCTCTTGGTATAATTTACCTAACATTATCAAATTAATGGTAACATTTTATTTATTAAAAAAATAGGTATATTTGCTAATTTAAAATTACATAATATTTAATTAAAATGAATGCTGTAAGATTAGGTTTTAACAACTATTCACGTATAATTCATAAATAATTTTTACATTCCCTGCCTATATGGAAGAAAATATGCCACAAATAATACTGTATCAATAATAAGATACCTGCCTATCTAGTGAAACACAAAATTTAAAATGCAAAATATATTGCCCTCCCCTTGACGAATTCCTGCGGACGCCCTTGCTGCCTTCTAATGAATGCAACATTTGTAATAATTAAAGGCCGGATTTCTATGCATTTAAAATTTTAAAATATGCATGCAAACACGCATTAAAAAGATGCAAAAGATGCAAAATAAAATTTTTATTTTTATTCCATTTTATATTTGATTTTAATTTTGCAGTGATAATTATATATAAGTTTTATTACAATTTTCAAAAACAAAAATTAAGATGTAAAAATACTATAACAAATATGTAGTACAATAATGTAATTTGTCAAATTGTAATTTAATTTTTAATTATTGATACATTGTAAATAATATTTTATTAAAATTAAATAGTAGATACATTGGTGATATACTGATATAAATAGAAAAAAAGCACCTTTTTAGATCGTTAGGTGTATATTTGTACGGTTTTTTGTTAAAATATGAAAAATTATGCAGAACATTCACTAACGTCAGAATACGCAAAAATTTGCGTTATAAAATTTTGATATTTAATCAATCAAGTAATGATTTGTGGACACTCATTGACTGCTTGATATGATGTTGAAAGTAGCAACATGCATTTTATGCAAAATCTGGTCTTGAGTAAAAATTCTTGGTTTACTCTACCAAATTTTTTATGCAAATACTACATATTTATTTCTAAGTTCTCATCTATTCCTCCTCCATCCAGCATACAAAACCATTAAAATGAAATTAATTATGTTCGCAATAACGATCATTGCTCTAATAATAATTCATCCGAAACACGTTTTTGTACTCCAATAATTAATAACTGTAATCCCGCTACTTATGTTTCCACCGATTTTTCACCTATTGGGTACTATCAAAATTGTAGAGGTCTTAGGACCAAATTAAAAACTTTAATTTGTAATGTATCTATTTTCAACTATATTTTATATGTCTCACAGAAACTTGGCTATGTGATAATATTAATGATACTGAATTAGGTTTTTATAATTACACCATATTGAGATGTGATAGAAATATTCAATGCAGTAATTGAATCCCAATTATTATTAATAATGTCGAACATTTATTCGTCAAATTCAGTCTAAATAGTTTCAGTTTTGTGGTAACATTTCTCCTAACAGCTTAAACAGCCTTACTCATATTTATGAGTCCTACTTGTTGACTGTTCAGCCCGTTATAAACGATAATCCAGATTGTATTACTCTATTCTGCAGTGACTTTAATCAACCCGACATCACCTGGTCAAATCTTGGTTTAACGTTTTCCTCCAAAACTTGTCTTAGTATCCACTGCCTCCAGGAAACGTATGCCTTTTTAATTATTTTCAATTAAATCATGTCCAAAACTACTATGGAAAGCTTCTCGACCTTGTATTCTGTAACGGTGATAGTGCTTCAGCGGACGCTGTTTCAGACACTCTTATCCCCTGTGACAAATATTATCCAGCCTTGAGAATAAATATCTCATTGGGGACTCCTATACCATTTTCCTCTAATTCTCACAACATTTTCAATCTCCTCAAAAGCACGTTATTCTAATATAAACAAATTCGTGCTGCCTTTTAATTGGTACGATAGTTTCTTGTCTCTTGATGTTGATTCGGCCACAAATACTTTCTACGATGCCTTGCACTATTGTATTCTACAGTTTATGCCTGAAGTATCTTATAATACTTTTAAGTTTCCAGCCTGGTTCACAAAAGACTTAAAATAACTCGTATTCAATAAAAAAAAACGTGCACACCCAAAGTTCAAACAGACTCGCAGGCCGCAGCCTTCAGAACTACCCATATTTCTGCCATTTTCGCTATAGTTTTAAGTTTGAACCCAAGAATTGCTATAAGGCTTTCCCCGGTCGTACTGAATCAGAATTAAAAAGCAACCCTCATTCCTTTTGGGACTTTGTCAGCAAAAACAAATCTCATAACGATATATCTAATACCGCCCACATAAATGACTCCTTAGGAACTGGCCCTTAGGCGGCTTCTAATTTATTTTCTACTCGTTTTAACTCCGTATACTCATCGCACACCAATAATGCATTCGACATGGCATTCCAACTGGACAATTTGCCTTTCTACAAAGAGTGCCAAATCAAGCGGTCCTGATGAGCTCTCAGGAATTTATTTATTCAACATTAAATCCACTATTAGCTTTTCCTTGCGCTACTCTTCCGCTGTTCTCTCGATGAAGGAATTTTCCTTTCTATCTGAAAAATGAGTTGTGTCACTAATGTATATAAATCAGGTGATGAATCCGAAATGAAAAATTATAGACCCATCTCTATACTTTCCCATCTAGCAAAATTGTTTGAATCACTTGTGCTCATGAGTATACAGCCTGTATCTATTAACTCAATACTAATAAAAGAATAATATGGCTACAGACCAAGCCGCTCCGTCATCACGAGCACACTTGTTTTCAACATTTTTACCCATAAGGCCTTTGAAAACCATCTTCAAGTAGATACAATTAATACTGACTTTTGGCCGCATTCACCACTCAACTCTTGTTAAAGTTCTTTAAAAATCTGGCTTCGGTGACCCCCTCTTACATCATAGATCAAGTCATTCTTAAAAGACAGGACACATTAGATAAAGACCAACTGTCACAAATCAGCTCCTTCATAGGTACCACCCGGTGTTTCACAAGGGAGCCATTTACCACCATTATTGTTTACTTTATTTTTAAACGGTATAAAACAAATACTGCCCGGTTACCACTTTCTTGCTTTTGCTGACGACCTTAACATGTTCAAAACAATAATAACAATGACTGTCACTTACTCTAGTCTAGTCTGGAAAATGTGGTCTTGTACTTAATTTCGCTAAGTGTAAGCCTCAATGTAAAGAAGTGCCGAACTATGTCCTTTACTAGGTGTCGATCTTTCATCCCATTACAATACACCATCAATGATTCCACTCTTGTCTCAGTATTGAGTGTGAAAGATCTAGGTATTCTCTACACTCGTACACTTCATTTTAACTTCTACATTGAATCATCATCTTGCAGGGCTTTCGAAGTACTGGGATTCATTAAAAGAATTGCCTCTGAATTTAAGCTTGAGTCTTCAATAAAACTGTTATATTGCTCCCTAGTTCGGTCTATTGTTGAGTATGGATCAGTGTTATGGGACCCCCATACAACCTCAAACTTCCTCATACTAGAGAGAGTCCAACGACGTCTCATATCTTTTATCTCATATGTACTGAAGATAGATCATACTCATCTACATGACTATTTTCCTGTACTAGTCGTACTACAACTTTCCTCGTTGGCTGATGGAAGAGCAGCTGCAAATGGACAAACTCTTGGACGGTTCTATAAATTCCTCCACTTCCCTCTCCAATATTAACTTTAAAGTACCACAACGTTCACTCCGTCACCACATGCCTTCCTCGGTGCCGTATTATACCACAAACTACGGTCGTTATAACCCTATCCATCGCTTTATGCGTATGGCTAGTGAACAACCTACCTTTTTGTCATAACTATATCTTTTTCTATCTGTTTTACTGTTGTATACCTTTATCTTTTATTAATGCATATTTGTTTAATGAATTAGGCTCCATCCGTAATGTAATAATAAAAAAAAGAAAAACTATTAAGGGCAGTGATTGTGAATCACAATTTATCTTTTAACGTGTTTCTAGATCATGGACGCGGTGAAAGCTAAAAAATTAGGTCTCAGCTTACAAGTACAAGATTTATCAACGAAAAATGAGAGGAACCAGCGTATTGCGTATAGAGCCAGTAGAATGAACACAATGATGGCACAGCTGAAACAGACGTTAAGAAGAAAAAACCGAAAGTTACGGATTTTGACAAACAATTTAGCAGCGATGAAAAACGAAATAGAAACGTTGTGTTTGCACATATACAAAATGGATTCGATGCTGGTGACGACGACAACGTCAATGGAACACGTTTTGAAAGTAATATTTTGTGGTTATCAAACTCCGTCTGGCGGTAGTGCACTAGTTCAGAGGGGAGGAACTATAGGGAGTGATTAGATATTAATATAAGTATATAAAATATAAAGTACCCTCAAGTTTCAAACGACCACCATAAAGTCCCCGGGCTCAATGCTTAGTACAATATGGAATAGGAACTGGCGTACTGTGGTGTACTAGGTATACATTTGAATGATTTATAAAATATTTTCTAACAATTGATATACCTATAATGTATAATTAACTACTTACGTGAAACCTTTTTATGAATTTTCAATTTTTAGCTATACAAATTGAACATTTTATAAATTTTTAACTTGTTTCGTCAAAATTTGAACATAAAATACTTGTAAAAAAATTTTGCCATCGGGAAGTACCTACATTATGCATTTATTAAACGTCTCTCTTAACCGAATAGGTACGTTTAACATTTTTCGCCTTATTTTTAACGTTGATGAACCAAAAACGAAACCTATATACAATCATTATAATTTTAATCTTTAATTTATTTGTGTTACGTTTTATACATCTTTTAGTTGAACGAAGTTGACCAATCCTTGAGCAAGTACAAGGGTAATGTTTACTACACGTTTGTAGCGAATTTGTACAAGCTATTCATTGCTACCAAGTTGAGGAAAGTAGAAATCAGAGGATTTGATTCGTGAGTATTTATTTAAATGTTCATGTCATAATCCTGGCAAAATCCTTATGAGACAGAATGGTGTAGTATTGTATGAGTTATGAATAATATATGTATATTAAACACAGCAGGTATACCGTAGCCACACATTTATTTGTGGGCTGGAGGGGCTCTAAATGTATCATTTCTATTTTACAAGACACATGTTTAAATAATCAATACAAATTTATTCTTGAATATGAAATCATATTCAAATTTTTTTTTTTGAAATAATGTAACTATTAAAGCATCAGAAATTAGAATTATATTGTATTAGTCATGATGAAGATAATAATAATAACTAAGTTAAATTTTTAAATCTAAGCTCCTTTTTTTAGAGACAAATTAATCAATTATTTTTCAAATATTTATTAAGTTCCTAAGGAGCGTTCAAAGTGATTTTCACGATTTTCATTTATAGTCAAAGAGTAGGTATAAATTGCTTTTATTGACACCTTATATATTTTCCTATTGTTTCACTTAACTATTATAACTTAAACTTAAGGATGAAAACAGCAATTATTTTGTAGAATACTAAAACATTGAATACCATTTCAAGACAATCAAACTAATAAAATAAAGTAATAACATTTCTGCTAACAAATATGACTTAGGTACTCATAATTTCGTTGGAAACGACTTCCCACCTTTTCGAATTTTAATAGTAAAGTATATCTATTGAAGTTTATCTGAAAACAATTTGAAGATTTTAAAAGTTTAGAAGTTACATATATTATAATGTATCAACACCACATGATATTATGCGCATAACAAAGTCATGTGTTTAATAAATGGCGAGCATAAGTAATGATCATTCACTACTCACACAACACCTTAGTACTCTTTAAACTGCCTATAATGAACTCCTTAAAACTAAACGTTTGCAATTCCCTTAGTTGTAAAATGATTTCGGTACCTTAGACCTCAGAATAAGATATGTACCGGGAGTCTGACTTGAGAGCATATGGCTTCGTTCTAGCATTGGTGGAAGAAGCTTCTGACCACCACCAATGAAAATCGGTCGCTGCCACTTTAGTACCTTTCTTATTTTATAAGTTACTTTAACTGTCAAAAAACGGTTTAGCAACCATTAAATCCTTTCAAAGTTAATTCTATACCTACAACAAATTATACAGTAGGTAAGTTATGTTAGGTATATACGCAGATCTTAAATACAAATATGGTCAATTATGGTCTATATACATAAAAATCATATTAAAAATCAAAAGCTGTAATATTTGTTAATTATTAAGAAATGTGATAAAATTTAAAAATAAAAAACAAAAAAGTAAAAGATGAATATTATTATTTTAGTTATTATACATTTTTACTACATTTCATAGTCATAATGTTATTATTTTTATATTACAGTATTAAAGGTGTGAAAGTTACACTCTTGAACATTAAAAAAAAACAAAGATTGACGCGTTCAGTTTTCAAATTTCAGAGGAACAAACTAAAAATGAAATGTTCAAAACTACAAAAATAAATAACCTAGAACATGTTAAATGTTGTAGGTAATTGTACTAACCAGAATGGTCAGTAGTACTCAGTGCATTGTTGATAGCGAATGGCAATTAAATAGATTCATACCAATTCTCACAATAAACTTTGTCTTATATAGGTGCAATGAATTAATTAACTTAGATAATCTTAAAACTTAAGTGGTCATATTTATTAATTGTATGTTCCTTTTCTTTTTAAAGATTTAAGTTAAAACTATTTAAAATAAAATAAAATAAATTATTATATTAAGTAAAGAAAAATATTGCATAAATTATGACTTCTTATAAATTCATTGAAAATATGCTTCATATTCATAATGTTATTTTATTGAATTTTTTTTAACTTCTTTGCCCTTATTTTACATTAATTAACTGTAATTTACATTATTTTCTGTACTTCTGTAGATTTATAGTCATATTTTACAATAAACATAAGTTTATCGAGAAAATAACTATTTTGTTTTACACGCACAATTAAAATGTATTAATACATAAACTATTTGTTACCAAGCAGAATATGTGTTAACTATGTCTATATCGAAAATTTGGAAACATATAATATCTCTTGTTGACGAGTGTCCTGTACATTTTGGCTTGCTACACTAAGAATTTCAGTCTCAATAGACTATGTTAAGTAATTATGAAAACTACTATGAACATTTTTTTGTATACATTTACGATAACTATAGTAATAAATATTTATTATTATTATTATATGCATAAGTAATTCAATCATTTTAATTTTTATGCTTATCATGTACATAACTGGAGGGAATAATAAGATAACTATAAATTAAAAAACAAGGTACTAAAATAAAAGTATTTCTGGTATACTTATCGATTTGTAAAATGCAATCACATTAATGTGCATCATAGGCAGCCCAAAATTTCAAGTGTGCCCACAATATTTTTGGTCCCTCTCTTAAAAAGACAAGTACATTTAATAAATTATAACATACAAAATACAAATAAACTTAACCAAGTTTTTTTTATTTAATATTCTAATACAACAATAACAAATTTATAACAATATGCGCCTCTTACTTAAATAATTCAACTCGTTATAATATTTCACTTATTCAAAATCGATTGTCTTAACATTTGGGGGCTCAAAAATGTAGGTCCCTGGAGCGAGTGCTCTTAATACCCCTTAAATTTGGCACTGCCAAACCCATCTATACACTTAAAGAAATAATGTAATCATCAGTTCTTGGCAAAAAGTTTAAAACTATGACATTACAATTTGTAATTCAGCTTATAATTGAAATGTGTGAACTGGCAGTTTTTTATTTTATTAAGTATTTGACTACTAAAATGCAATCATTAAAATATCGCCATCTTCAAGAATCACAGTCAGATTAGACGTTTAGTAAATAATAAATATACTGATAAATGGCAATAATGTTAGCCTATGTATCTTCTAAGTATAATATTGTAATTTTTAACACATGATTGCGTTTAAAAACAATACAAGCTGTATATTATATTTTATTGTAAGTATAACCAAAAATAAAACTTTTCCATGTCCAAATATTTTTTGATCCCAAACAAATATTGAACAGATAATAGATATAAATAATAACCTATTAATATAATTATTAGTATAATATAATTGTATTTTACTTATAATTAAATATTAGCAGATTAGCTACTTTTTATAATAAGATACCTATAAAAACCAAAAAACAAAAACAAAAAAATGGTGATCCAGAACATTTCTTCTACTCCAAATCACAATATGGCAATAACTGAATTATAACTTGATTATTAGCATGTAAAATGTAATTGCTAGTATCCATTAAACAATGAAACTTAATTTTAATAATGTTTCAGTTTACGTTTTTCTTAAATAAATTCTAAAACATAATTTTTATTTAATTTATTTTTGATCAAAATATTTGACAATTCAGTACACATAAAATAGACACATTTTAACAGAAATTAAATAAGAGATTAAGTAAACTTACAATAATAAGTATGATGAAAACCTAATAATAATAATTATTATAATATGTACAATGAATAGTAATGACTGACTTACAATATGAGAATAAAAGGACACAAAATATAGTTCTCATTTAAAATGAAATGATTTAGACTTAAACACTGGTAACTTGATTAAATTCAAAATGTTATATTTAAATTAATAAAAATAGAATAAAAAACCTATTACTTGTTTTTTTTCTTTTTAGCTTTTTTACATTTTTTTGTAGAAGTTATTTGAGTTACAATTTGGTCACTCTCGTCAATTACTTCGGGTTCTGAATGTTCTAAAAAAGTAAAAACAATTAACTACTACAACATAGAACATTTACTTAATTTAAACAATAGAATTAATTTTTATTGAATAAAAATGTATTTGAAAATCAAATATGCATATTATGATAAATAATTATAAAAATGTTTTTAATTTACATTTGAATTAGTGAAATCACTTTTGGATTGACTACATATACCATGAGTTTCTTTCTTTGAAAGTCTTATTTTGAAGAGTGAGGAGTCCTCCTTATAATGTTCAAATAAAAATGTATAAATAAATCAATTTTAAAGATTGCAGTTAAATGTCACCAAAAACTATTTTGAAGAATTTATCATATTCAATAAATGTCATAAAGATAGTATGTACATACATAACTTTAAACACAATTACCTGATATATTAATTTGAAGGTTTTCATTCATGGCTTCTGCCAAATCTTCCAATATTTTAATTTCACCTTGATCAGATACATCAGATGAGTCACCTTGATTTAAGTCTAAAAATTTTGGTGAATAATCAAAACTACCTGCAACCAATAAATCATTATATAAGCAAACAAATGACAGAATTCGGAAATACAAAATTATTTGTATTTTAATTTCTGAAACGCTATTGAATAAATCTAATCAAACAAGTTTCTAAAAATCAAATTCATATAATGTTATCCTAAACAGATAACGAGGCAGGCCTTGTGAAAACAGTTTACATTTAGTGGTTCCATAAGTTAAAAATAATAAATGGTAACTACTAAATTAATTCAATAAAAATGTCACTAAATATCACATAGGCTGTAGACATTATTTTCAAGTAAAATTCATGGAAATATTTAAACAATTTTTAATTGAAATCATTGAATAAAAACCTTTTAGTCCACTGCCGTGGTGGCGGTTAACTGCTGCCATGCCAATTATGCGCTTTCCACAGTTAGTTTGGAAAGCATTATTTTTAATTATTCCATTCATCATTCGTTCATCAAAAGCTTTACACACTCAAAAGCTTCTAAGAAATCAATAACTAAGTGATATGCAGTTCATTCTAGTGAGTTTATTATTACTTTAAAAAAATTGTTTAATCGCTGTATTTTCTGAATTTTTATAGCATTATTAGATAGTGTGGACGTATATTTTGCAAATTTAAAGAATCTCAAACTTCTCCTATTGTTCTGATCCCGTACAATTATATAAAGAAAACATAACATGGAGTACTTCATACAGCATAGTTTAAGATTTCCTTAAATCATACACTATTTCAGTGGAGGAATGAATATACAAAGCTATATGATATTTTTTTTTTTTTAATACAAATTGAAACTCATTATATTTTATGGACATTGCTGCAGAGCCATCATGACATTCACCCTGAAGATACTGTGTATAATATACAATTTTTTTTAAAAATATTTTATTGTTTAAGATAAATTATTCCTAATACGTCAAAAATTGTTTTATCATTAAAGAAATTATTTAAAAAATTATGTTATGGTATTTCTGAAGAGAACGATTTGAAAAATAATAGATAATTTAATGCTACATAATTTCTAATCTAACAGAGTTAAATCATTTTAACTGGAGAAAGATACTGAGACAGAGTGACACTTCAAAATATGGCCTGGGATGTCGTTTGTTAAAGTAAGGATCATAACATTTGCCTCTAAGAATCAAAATGAAGGGAAAATATTATCATATCCTCAAACTAAAAAGTTAGCTTTACCAATTTTATTTATCTGTAGAAAATTTAATAACTAGTAGAGGAAGGTTTGTACTATCAATACCAAATTGTTATTCACAAGAATTTAAAGAGAGTGGCGCTCAAAATATTACATAAGGCTCATAATGGTAAAAAATTATAACAAAAATGAGTTTACAATATAAACAGTTGATTTATTGGGCTGACTCGACTAATGAGGTTCAATAATTTGTGCTGGGGTGTTAGGTTTGAGAATCATTTAAAATGTTTAGTTAAGTAATACAAAATTACAACATTAACTATCTTATTTATTTGACATACAGTTAAATGAATAAATTAAAAAAGTATTTTAAATATTTTTGGAATGGATGTAATTGTATTGTGTTTGTTGTCAGTTAAGTATTTTTTATAAGACTAGTGACGACATTTTACGAACATTCCTCGGCTATGAAGTAAGAATAAAATACACTACAAGTCCTATGAGTCAAAATTCTATAGTTAATTCATGTAGTCTAATTGATTGTCCTCAATAAAATAGTACGCAAAATAAATTACGCAAAATAAATTACACAAAATGTTTTACAGTTATTGTAGATAAAACAGCAGATTTAGAGACTAAAGAGTATCAAACAAGTCTCTATTTGTATACGTTATGTTGATTTAAAAATTATTAGACTATATGAAGATTTTTTATAATTTATTCTAACAACTGATTTAATTCAAAAAAGTTTGACACTTAAAATAATGTACGATTTGATAAAAAAAAATTGTACATTACACATAGTATCTTCAAGGTGAATATCATGATGGCAAGGCACCAATGTCCATAAAATACAATGAGTTTCAACTTTTATTTAATTAAAATAATATTATTTAGTTTTATACACCCATTGATCCACTCTTTTCTTAAATCATGCTGTATAAAGTACTGTGTGCTATGTTTTCTTTACATAATTGTATGGGGAAAATTGGAGAAATATGAGATAAATTAACAAAATATACACCTACACTATCTAATAACATTATAAAAATTCAGAAAATACAGTGATTAAATACATTTTTTAAGTAATAGTGAAACTCGCTAGGAATGAACTGCATATCATTTGGTTATCGATTTCTTAAAACCTTTTGAATGTGTAAAGATTTGATGAAATGAATGGAATGATACAGAATCATCAATTAAAAATAATGCTCTCCAAACTTCAATTCATAAT